ATTATATTTGTAAAAAAATCGTAAAACAGAGACCACAGGTACTTATTTTCGGCAAATTTCCTAGAGAAACGAGGGTAAGGGTGAAATAAATTTCAGGATAGTTGCAAACATTGTTAAATAACAATGAATTATATTTGTAAAAAAATCGTAAAACAGAGACCACAGGTACTTATTTTCGGCAAATTTCCTATAGAAACGAGGGTAAGGGTGAAATAAATTTCAGGATAGTTGCAAACATTGTTAAAGAACAATGAATTATATTTGTAAAAAAATCGTAAAACAGAGACCACAGGTACTTCAATTATAGAGGTTGGAAGTGTTAAATTATATAGTTAGTTACCTTCTTGGATCATGAGGTTTGTTTCTTTGTAAATCATATTAGTTGGATCAAAGAACCCATATATATGTTAAACCAGGATCGTTCTACTTTAAAAATAAATTTCATGATATATAGTACGAATTGAATGGAAGAACGTATACGTTAAATCCTCAGCATAAAATAATGTACATTTTAAATTATTTACAATAAATCAATTACTTTAAAGAAGCTATATAAAGATGTGCCATATATGTCAAACGTAAGGAGGTCTATTTTAAACCTTGTACATTATATCTTTAAAACTGAAGAAGGAATAATTTAAATAATGTGCGATATATAGTTTATGTTGAAGATGGAACGATTTAAATAATGTGCTATATATAGTTTATGTTGAAGATGGAATGATTTAAATAATGTGCGATATATAGTTTATGTTGAAGATGGAATGATTTAAATAATGTGCGATATATAGTTTATGTTGAAGATGGAATGATTTAAATAATGTGCGATATATAGTTTATGTTGAAGATGGAATGATTTAAATAATGTGCGATATATCACAATGTCCGAAGTGAATAATGCACTTTCTAGAGAGGTTTTTCTCAAATTATGATTTAATGTAATGGTTTCAACAGTTCTGGAAGGACTGGAGAAATAGTCTTTAAAATAGATATAACTAAAACATTGTCTTTGACGGTATTTTTACAAAACGTCTCCCATATTATAGCTCTTGATACATTTAATTATATATATTTATTACATTAAAAAACAACAAATTAATTAAATAAACAAGATACTGTTAATTGCGATAACTAAGCTTTGGTCGTGATAACCTGATTTCACAAAGAAATTGAGTTTCTGTGTTTCAAAATACGTCTTTGTGACTATGTATTAGGCATTTTTAAGGTCAATTTTAATTATATTTTACGTTGTCAAATGAAACAACCCCTCGTTTAATGGCGAATCCGCCCACATGACAAATTTGTTCCTAGGTTCTCTGTTTGTCTGCTGCAGCTTGGCAGCAGTTTCACCACGCTCAGGAAAGCATTGATTGTAATTTGATCACTTCGTTCGTCTCATCTTGCCAAGAGCTTCCATCATCAAACGCAAGCACTATTCATGCACGTGTTTTAGCTCGTGCTTGCAAAGCATTCCAAAGTGGAAGAATGGATCGTATGAAGCACTTTGAGTTCAGTGTTTCTGAAGTGGTCAGGGACCATCATTTATTAATCTATATAAAAGCGAAGAGATAAACTATTGCGTTAACACCATTAGACATCGGGCACTGTTTGTGTGTGTGTGTGTGCAAAAGGTCAGTAGATAACGTTTGGATTTAAAAACACACTTGCTTACCGTAAACTGCTACAGTGATTGGTTTGTCACTTAGTAATTGATGTCATCATTAAAATAAATCATTTCCATGTTAGGATCGTGTAAAAAATTTTAAAACCTCAAATAATTTATAACAAAAATACAAGGCAATTATTTTACTGACTTTTTTTTTGTTCACTTAATATGTGAAGCAGAAATCGAGAATTGGAGAATAAAGTTAACTTTATTTTAAAATCTACAAATGATAGGATTGAAAAGTTGCCTTCCGAAATGAATAAAAAGTTTCTAGATTTTCGACAGCGATGAATGAAAATGAAACATAAAATTTCTTCACCATCGAGATAGTTACAAGAAGGCAATGCAACTTCAACACTTTACCCGATGGTGACATCTAGCAACAAAATTTATTGTTACTATCTCTCGGGTAAATGTGGAAGTTGCATGGAATGGTGACATCTAGCAACAAAAAAGATGCATTGATTTATTGTTACTATCTCCCAACACTTTACCCGTTTTGTTGCTAGATGTCACCATGGAGATAGTTACAAGAAGGCAATGCATCTTCAACACTTTATCTGTTTTGTTACTCGATCAGACTTGAATTCAAATCGTATTATCTTACTGGAGCTATTCTCTAGATTCTGACACATTAGTGAACATTATATATTATTTATAGTCCTGCTTCATCAATAATATCATATCAGACAGTATCTTCTACATCATGACAACTCAAGAGTACTACACAACATCCTGAAGTTCAACATCACACACTACAACGCGGAACTGTTTCGTTAATAGTATCATATCTGACAGGCAGTATCTTCTACATCATGATAACATGTAAATATCACTACAACTCACTACAGTGCTGCACAACATCCTGAAGTCCCGTTTTCTCCATTATGTGATACATATAACTTACTGCATTAAACCAACTTCTATATAATGATAACATGTATATATCACTACAACTCACTACAGTGCTGCACAACAAACTTACTGCATTAAACCAACTTCTATATAATGATAACATGTATATATCACTACAACTCACTACAGTGCTGCACAACAAACTTACTGCATTAAACCAACTTCTATATAATGATAACATGTATATATCACTACAACTCACTACAGTGCTGCACAACAAACTTACTGCATTAAACCAACTTCTATATAATGATAACATGTATATATCACTACAACTCACTACAGTGCTGCACAACAAACTTACTGCATTAAACCAACTTCTATATAATGATTAAATGGTGTTGTTTTAAGACAAACAATTTTGTAGATTTCAGTTGAAAAACGTGTATTGTCTAGAGCTTTATTGTAATGGGAGTGATATCGTTTAATGAAACGAGTTATTCAATTACAAAATAAAACTAA